TTATGCTGAAAACAGTCAAAAAAGACAAGCAAGATGTATAATGTAAGTTTAATCTTAAAGAAAAGCTTTATATACATGTATATGTATTTCTTCTTGTATTTGTAAATTATTTCAACTTGAATTGAAATTTTTAAACGACACATTAGAAAATATGACGTGTAAAGTTGTTTTCAACAAAGATTAAATCGGAACCGATGATTCACACATAAACTTTAACACTTCATTTATTACTGTATCCGTTAGAATTAATTGTATATTATTTAGAAATTAATGACATGCTGCTATGTTTTATAAATATCAATAAATCGTATAAAAATATGATGATGAAGTTTAGTATGGGTCTTCTTTTCTGACTGGTGTGGTCAATCGTGAGTACCTAAAAATTTAAGAAGAAGTTTGTATTTTTATATTAATCCAGAGAATTTTATGATCAAAAGCTATCTATCATCTCGACTTACTTTTTGTCGAATTTTTGATTGATTGCAAAAAGTTTAACTTGAGTGTCTTGGTCAATGTTATTCCATGGTTGTGGGTTATTTTTTCTACAAGTAGGCATTTATTGTCTTAGAACTAAACGAAAAAATAAACGATCCTCTTTTTCTTTGCTTACCTATCCCAAACAACTTCAGGACCCCGAGCGAGACGAGTTAAATACCAAGCAGAACCGCACACAGCAACACCCTTTTATATTAAGAATATATTCAATAAATAAATCAGACCACAAAATATTTCATGCCATTATCATAGTTAATAATCGAAATACATGTATATGTATAAAACATACTGTAACAACATAGATTGGTATAATTTCTGCTCGGAACCAATGTTTCAAGAAATTGCTTGCGGACATTTTATGTAAAGTATATTATATTATAATAATAGCAGATCAAAGAAGTAAATATTGAAAAAAAAGAAATTAAAAGTTATTAAAAAGCGATCAAGAAAAATTCTCAAAGGGTTATATAAAGAGAAAATTTCTCAGTTGGTACTAATAATGAATGTCCTTGTATTCCTTCGGGAGAACTCGCCGCAACACAATACGTAGTACATGTATATACTGTACTTCAAACAATCCAATGATCAGAAATTAACATAAAAAAATTTTTTTGACAGTTTCCGGATTCGTGTTTGCGTGCGCATGGAACACGTAAATGGAAGGATCGAAAGCAAATCTATGCATACTAAATAAATAAATAATAAATCTTGCATATTAATTTATTTGTATTCGTACATTATTGTTTGTCTATTGTGAATCATAAGGAGACAGGCGTAATGTGTAAGCCCCCCACATTTTGTTTCGGAATGATTAGATTAACATTGATCGTTGATTCGGACAAATACAAAAATGGTATATATTGCATCTTTAGATGCAATATACGAGTATTAGTTTATCGTTATTAGTTTTACAGAGATCAAAATGTTTTATAATCTGCTATGGTTCATCAATCTACGTAACCGTAATGTATAACAAAAATCTTTTTAAATAAAAAATTTTCATCCTTTATCAAGATCGAAAATAGGTACGTATTTAGTAAAAGTTATGCATGATTTATATAATGTTTTTTCGATATAACGAACCTTGATATGTATATAACACCTGGATAAACTGAGAAACAGTTATAGTAAATCTACCTCGATAACCGATTTTTTCAAACTTTAACTAGTAGCCCGACCACTTCGTTATATCGGGATTTGACTGTATACATGTAATTGATACATGCAATAGAATTTGATAAGCTCATACAATCTACTTATACACAAAGCAAACTTATAATAAACTAATTATTTTTATGACTTTGAATTATTTTATAAACTGCCAAAGGCAAAAAATTTATATTATTCTCATCGAATTTAATCACTTCAACTACAAAAACTATAAACTATAACGAAGAATGAATTTCATCAAATCTCATATTTTTGGTAAAAATTTAAAAAATATAAATTTAACTTAATTCATTTAATACTTGAATAAAAAACATTTCTAAATATAAAATCTAAAAAATGTAATAAAGCTTATATTAAATATGGATCCTATTCCCGAAAATAGACCAATTGCTTCAGAACTTTACGAGTTTATCAACTCGTACCTTTCTAGTTAATTCTTCATGATTATTTTGTGATAAAGATTGGGATATATAAATTGGAATATCATATATAACCTTAATACGTAATTAAATTGAGATTAAAAATTTGTACTTCAGATTATTAGATACATGTAATATTATATTTCAAATTATTGAAATGATCATTTTATTATAAAACAAATATAAATTATATTAACATCTTTCTTTGAATAATTTATAACTTTACTAATAAAACGTTTTCAAAATTGCAAGATTTTTTTTTAAATTCATGACTTATACAAATTGAATTTGCTCAATAAATAATATTCAACATAATTTTTAAAAAGTTGAAGGCAAATTTAGAATTAAAAGATATTTTAGAAACATGTATTTTGCAACAAATAGATAATTTTTTAATACAATTATTTTAAATCACATATTAATTTATAATGCTAGACTATGATTTATTGTTCACGAATTTATAACTTATTTAAATATCGGAATTATTATATATATATACAGTGGCAATTATAAATAATGCAACAACATCAAAATTTATTAATTAAACATAGTAAAATGCGAATTTTTCTCTTTATATAAAAGTTTTCAATTTTACTAATAAATA